CAAACAAGATAGCGTGATAACAAATTTAACATGATAAATAAATATCATATGATAAATTTGTTACATGATAAAAAAAAAATGTTAACTCAATTGCATTACTCACCGTTAACAATGTTACCGATTGTTAGTGTAATTATCGCCTTCTTCACAGCTACTACCACCGTCGCTGGCTTCTTCCTCCTTCTTCTCCTCTGAAATCATGATAAATAATTTGAGATTCACCCAATTTTATGGCTTTTGAGACATCCAATTGAAAAGAAAAAAAGCAAGTTTTGTAGTTGAAATTCACCAATTTGGGCAGCTGTTCTGACAAGAAACCACCACCATCATCATCACCCCCCATTGTCACCGCCTTCTTCCACCACACCGTCTTCGAGTAACGCAGACATCGTCCCCACTATCATCGTCGATGTAGTCCCTCTGACCATCACAATCAAAACTTTCTGCCCATCATCACCGACTGACGTAACATGCTCATGGCCATCACCGATTTGTTTTCTCGTGTGCCAAATTCTTCTCCTTCTCTCTTTTTTTTTTAATCTCAGCAGCCTTCTTCATACACCACCGCAGGAGAGAGAAACCCAATGAAAAAAGTTTAATTAGTGAATTAATAATTACACGGGCAGTTAGGGCCGCACAGTGTCAAAACATGTCAGTTAATTTATAAACTATTGATAGGTAGTTTGTGCTATTACCCTTCTTTTTTCCCTTCATAAATATTCACATTAAATAAAATAAAAAGTCAACGTTTCAATTTATTGATCATCCCATTCCCAATAATACTTGAATACAATTAAGTGTCAGATGATCCAATGTTCTTGATTTCAGAGCTGAGGCAAGACCAATCGAAAGGAGGAAACACATAGGGTCATTTAAGCAAACCCTCAGCTATCAATCCGTGAGCAGACTTGAGTCAAATGAACACCGTCCCAATTCACATACTTTGAAGGATCATTACAAGCTTCAACTCCTTCCAAGCCACATTTTTCACCAAATGAGAAGTTGTAAGATCCTTCTAAACTGCAGCAAGCGGGCAAAAAAGGTCTGGTCTCAAACCCTGATCGGATGATTTAACGTGGTGTAGCAAAATCAAATCAATGAACTTGGTCGTGCAGAATGATCAAGAAGACAAACCGAATTTGGTTGGTTCTTGGAAAGGGTGTATCATCGTTTTAGTAATCTGCGTATATGATGTTGACATGAGGGTAAAGCTTTCTGAGTCTGTCTAACTCTTCCTGAAGCTCTTATTCTAGTATTGTGAAAACTCGTTTAGCCATGTCAAACATCTTTTTGAGCATACACTATATCTATTATTTATTTATGTAATATAATTACAAAATGTCAAAATTAGTGAACTGAAACTGTTATTTATTTATTTTAATACAAGAAATTTTTTAACTATATTGTAAATAACTAGTCTATAAAATATCAGAGAAATTTCAAAACAACATGTACATTTTCAAAACAAAGGATGTCTATTTTTAAAATTAAACTTTTTCATTGAGTAAAATAACTCTAAACCCAAAATTTAAACCCTAAATTCTAAAATCTAACCTTGAACCTTTAAATCTAAACACTTAACCCTTAGATCTAAACCCTAAACCCCAAAATCTAAATCTTAGTTAGGGATTAGTGAACCCAGTCTTAGATGTTAAATTTAGAAAAAGTGTAATTTTGAAAATTAACAACAAAGAGGTGTAGTTTTGAAAATTAACACACCAAGATGTGTATTTCTTAAAATTTCTCTAAAATCTCACTAATATTTGAAAATTATGTTTTGTTCAAAATAATCATAACAAATAATATAGATATGAATTTCTACTGGAAAGGGTTAATATTTACCAATCATTCTTTCATTTAAAAAAGTCACAACACAAATATTAAAACTACAGCCAAATAAACTATAACCAAAAATCTAAAGCTATATATAACCAATCAGGCCCTTCATCTTTTCATTTTTTATTTGTTTACATTTTACATGGATTGAATGAAATGTTCATTCTCGGTGAAATGTGCAGATATTGGACCCATCCGAAACAGAGTAGAGGGAAATCGATACAACTGTTGACCTTGTTGAACGAGGAGTAATGGTGATCTGATAAGTCCCTGTATCTCACAAGCCAATCTCAGAAATCCCTCTAATTTGTTGTATTTTCTGAACATTTATTTTAAATTTTGAAAAGTGGCTTATTTCATAATTACCCTAGCTAAGTAAGAAAAAATACACTCTATACATGGCCCCTCTATACATGGGTTTTATCCACCCACCCAATATTTTCGGATTTTATCCATTGAAGAAATAATAAAAGACCTTAATTTTTTTTAAGTTTGTTTCATTTAAAAAAGTATCCAAACAAATCATAAAAGATAAATATTATTTCGTAGAATAACTAGGTAAAACTTGGTAAAACTATTTGATTTTTTTATGTTGAAATTTTCTTGGATTTTTCAAACATTTAATCCTTCATTTCGTGTTGTTTTTGATTTTGGGTTTGTTAATAAAATTATGGTTCTGATTTTTCTTGATTTTGTGATTGTTATTCAAGTTAAGGGTTCTTACATTTCTAATTTTTTAGGTTGATTTTTTTGGATTATTCAAACATATAATTTTTTTGTTCTTGATTTCAAATTTGTTTAGGAAAATTGGATTCAAGCTCGATCTTGATTTGTGATTATTGTTCAAATCAGTTATGTTTATTGATTTTTGGATTCAAATTGATTGCATTTCTGATTTTTTGGGTTTTTGTAATACTTGGTAAAACTAGTAAATAGTAATATTCAATGCAAAAACCCAGATTATCGTAAATGCAAAACTCTAGAAATTAGAAATTATAACTTGGAATGAAAAATTATAACAAAAACCATAAACAAATTTGAAAACAATAAACCTGAAATCAAAAACAAATCTAGATTTTTTAAAACAATCCCAAAATTTACGGAAGAGGAAGAAGAGATATAAGAACAATTTATGGGGATAAAAACACTTGTGCACTGAATTTTTTTAGTGGGCCTGCAGAGTTGAAATGTGTGCCGTCTTTTTTTTTTTTGGGTGCAGCCAAAATTGCTCATAGTTATACTCAAGGTTTTAGTTTTACCAAATTTGCAAATAGTTATACTTTGACGTGTTTTCTATTTAATTAGTATTACTTTATTTTATTTTTTTGATTTTCTAGTTTTACAATATATTTTTGTTAATTTAACCATGTTTTCGATATCCATTTAGATTTCTTAAAAATGATTTTATGTAACTTTTGCATCCTAAAGTTGTTAATATTAATAAAGTGATCATAAAAGTATAAGGTGTTTGTTGTATACATATTCTAATAAGAAATCATAATGTTATAGATTTATTTTATATACTTAATACATGTTTTTTTTATCATTAGAAAGCCCAGTGGAGAAAGGGGAAGAAGGAGGAGAGAGAAAATCGTTTTTTTTTTCAAAATCGTAATTTAATTAATTTAGTTTTAAATTTTGGAATAAATTTTTACTGACAAAAATAATTTATTAATTCGAAAAGGCATTTTTGGTAATTTAATTAAGGGAAGGATAAGTTAGATTAAGTTGAGATATTTGTGATTGGTTCAAGAAAAGAAAAGATAAATGAGATCATGACTTGAGTAATGGTACCTTGTAGAAGACATGTGTTAGATTAGGCCAACTCCTAAACTTTACACCAAAACACCAAATCTTTTGTGAAATTTCTTAAAGAATGAAACACTAAAAGTTACACCAAATCACTAAATTTGGTGGTGTACACTATTCACTACACCAAATATTAAATTAATGTAAATCAATTGATTAACATTTGTAATTTGAAAATAAATAGGACATAAATATTTTTTATTTAAACATTTTTAAAATATAAAATTTTAATTAAATAAGATTGAACAAAAAAACTAATTTAAAGACAGATTGATTTTTTTTAAACATAATAAAATACAAATAAAATCTTAAACACATAAAATTAAAATTAAAAACATAATTAAAAATCTTAAATGCAACAATTTTTTTTTTAAATCAAGATTTTAATAATATAATATATATTTTTTTTTATGTGAGGTTTGGCTTTTGTGGTGGAGATGAGAAACAAAAGTTAAACCAAAACACAAAATCTGGAATTAACACCAAATTTGATGCAATGGTTGGAGCTGCTTTCAGAGCGGAGGTTATTGTCTTGAAAGTTGAAACCATACCATAACTCGTTATGACTCTCCTTTCTCGACAACCCTGTAGAGGGAAACTTAGCATGGATGATATTAACTTCTCTCAACTTAGAGAATTCGTCTTCTCCAATGACATCTCTGTGTCTGGAGTAACTGGTGGTAACACAAATCATTGATGAGGGGTTTGAGAGTAACTTTTTGACTAAGAATTTTTGCAGGAAAATGATAGTTCCAACAAGATAGAGGGATGGATGGCGCAACTAATTGTCCACGATGTTGTGCAAAGGCTTTAGAGGCTTGAGGCAAGAATAAGAAATGAAACTTTTTCAACAATTTGTTTTTTAAGGCAAGAATAAGAAATGAAACTTTGTCAACAATTTGTTTTTTATATAGTTATAAACTTATAATCTAAATATTGAAAAAAAAAAACCTAACATTTTGTATATTATGTTTTTATATGAACGCTCACCAAAAAAATTGTAGCCTAGAAACGAATCCAGGTGTTGCAAAACAATTGAAATTATGGCATAAAGAGAGAAAAGGTCATTGAGAACAGCTCTTAAAAAATCAACTAGATCTGTTATAGTTTTAGTGAAAAAATAATAGAATTAACTAGAAAATAAACACGATTTTCAAATAAATGCCTCTTGGCTCTATAATGATACCGTCATTGGTGCTGGTTTTTTTGTTATTGATGATGTAGATGGTGGAGGTATTTTTGGCTCTGGCTGTACACAAGTGCTATCCACTTTATTGATCATCACAATAACACAGAAACTCAGACTACAAGACAAAAAAAAGTAAATTTTCAGACAAACTTGTATTAGTTGTTCATCAAAGAATACTGTGAGTATCAGATGATCCAATGTTCTTGATTTCAGAGGTGAGGCAGGACCAATCGAAAGGAGGAAACGCATAGGGTCCCTTAAGCAAACCCTCAGCTATCCATCTGTAGGCAGACTCAGTCAAATGAACACCGTCCCAATTCACATACTTTGAAGGATCATTACAAGCTTCAACTCCTTCAAACCCACATTTTTCACCAAATGTAAAGTTGTAAGATCCTCCCAAACCGCAGCAAGCGGGCAAAGGTCTGGCCTCAAACCCTGGTTGTACGATTAGACTCGGTTTAGCAAAATCAAATCAATGAACTTGGTTGTGTAGAGGTTAAAGTAGCAAGATCAAGAAGAAGACTAACCATATTTGGTTGGTTCTTGGAAGAGGCGTGACACAGAGTTGTAGTAGTCTGCGTATATGATGTTGACGTGAGGGTAAAGCTTCCTGAGTTTGACTAACTCTTCCTGAAGCAGCTTGTTGTAGTATTGTGAAAACTCGTTTAGCCATGTCAAACATCCTGTTAGAGGATCATATGCTTCCGTGTTTGTGGTTTGATATAGTGTCAGATACGTCACTGAGCATCCCAGTGGGAAATCTCCGGGAACCAGAAATGTTCTTCCCCCCATACCAATCAACTCCTGTAAATAATACAAGTTTAATCCTTTTGTTGTTCCTCAGACAAAAGAAAAAAAAAAACACAGAACAGTTTGTGCTTTTGATGTTTACCTTGATTGCAGAAGAAATAGTGGTGATCACCAGTGGAACCATCTCTTTGATCTCATCAACGGGTTTGCTCACGAAGAATGCGTAGTTATAGTCATTCCCTCCAATTTCTCCCATGAGAATCAAAGCATTTTCGATCATATCTCTGCACTCTGAGAAAAAAAACAGAACACAAAGTAAACCGTTATTACAAGTGAGCTCGTTTGATTGCATCTTGGAGGTTACTTTTTTTTGCTGTCACTTTCACTAGTTATAAACCAAAGCTGAATATAGAATCTTGAAAAATGCTATTCTCTATGATTGTAGCATATGAAATCAGATTTGACATTCTAATCATACTAAAGAGGGAAACACCAAATACAGAGAAAAGAAGATGATCTTTCATTTACCTGAAGGAGAGCCACAGAGTTTAGGCAAACTCTCTTTGAAGCTCGTAAGCTGAACACCTAAACTGACATTGGTGTAAGCAAAATTAATCCCTCTCTCCTCAAGAACAGAACGTTCCATTGCCGTTGCTCCACCCACCGCGAAATTGACTCCTTTCTCAAAGTTTGCATTTTTAGATCCGTAAAAAGGAGGCACAAGCGGAAATCCCAAGAATTCAGCTGTGGATGCAACAATAGAAATCAACTCTAGCTTCAAGAACCAATAAGGCTTAACAACACAAACACATAGAGTGATTTTTGTTTTTTTTTAACGCAGGGTGAAATCAAATACAACCAAGTCCATGATTCGATTAGATCCGGATTGTTCGGAAGATGTATCTTTTCAATTTCAACTTCGTACACACTTAGTCACAAGTTCTAAGTTCTAAGTACCGATGAAATCGATGATGAGGCGGCCGTCAGAGAAACGGCCGGTCGGTTTGTGGAAGAAGGTCTCTCCGTACGGAGGAAACGCGACGTGTGGAAGAGCGTTAGGATCAGAGAGACCGAGCAAGTTTCCGGTGTCGGCAAGCGAATCGCCGAAGCTGATGATCGACTTGAAATTCCGGCATTGTGTTTCCGAGTTCACTGTAGTGATCACAAAAAGAGTAGATGAAAAGAAGACCACGAGCTTCATCAACATAGGAGAATCGAGAAACGCCATGCGAGAGGCCCGAAGGTTTGGTCTACGGTCTCCGGTCTCTGTCATCTTGTTTCTTTCAATTATTTGTGATATTATGAAAAAATAGTTGTTGGAAAGAGCAATTATTTCTTTCCCCAGAGAAATTTTTTAGGGAAATTGGCAAAAATGACAACCAAAAAAATTATAATTCACCATCTAACCATTTCAAAAGTATGGCTAGACTATTCTGTATATCTTATGTAATATTACTACACATACCCTTGTTCAGTCACCACCATTCATCCTCTTCTCTTTTTCATCTTTTCCATTTTTATTTATTTTATTTTTCTTTCCCCCTTGTATCTTATATGCTTTGATACTTAAAAAACAAAGCTAATTTAAATTCGTAATAGCATTGAAAAAAATATAGATTTTCTTCTGTATATTCCATAGTTCAAATTTTTTAAAACTGATAAAAAATTAATCAAATACAAATATACTTCTAAGAAAAATCAAAATAATATAATGAAATAGTACTGAAGACAATCTATGTAGAATAGTACAGAAGACTATTTATGTTTTTTTTTTGTGTGTATTACTCATTTTATTTTACTTATTGAAGGGTTTAGGGTTTAGTATTTGGGTTTGGGTTTAGTATTTAGGGTTTATTTTTGAAGCTTTAGGATTTAGTTTTGAAGGTTTAGGGTTTTGTTTTAAATGTTTAGGTTTGTATTTAGTATTTGGGGTTTAGGTTTACTTTTTAAGGGTTTAGGGTTTAGTATATGGGGTTTAGTTAAGTGTTTAGGGTTTAGTATTTGGGTTTGGGTTTAGTATTTAGGGTTTAGTTTTGAAGGTTTGGGTTTGTATTTAGTATTTGGGGTTTAGATTCAGTTTTGAGGGTTTATTGTTTAGTATTTGGGTTTAGGTTCAGTATT